TGCATTTATGTGTGCGCATATATATATATATATATATATATATATATATATATATATATATATATACATACATACATAATATATATGTGTGGTGTCAAGTAATTTTTTGTTTAAAGGGCTAAATGTTAAATATTGTTAACATACACATACATGTTTTTGATTTTGTTTTGAGACTTCAAAATTCACATTTATAATATATACATAATATTTATTTTTAATATTAAAATGTACATTATATGTTAATAAATACAATTAAATATATAATTAAATATTTTTTGTTGTATTTTAATGTGCAGTAATAAACGTCAGTACAGGGGGCGCTAGCGTTAGCTTCGCATGTCTACATGAACTAACTTCAACTACTTTAAGATACTAGATACTGTCTGCCATTACAGTAATTTACCTAAAAAAACTTACTATAAAAGAAGACAGTTTTCTATAATGCCTGCAACAGTGCCCCTTGTGGCAGCATTGAGAATGCCCTGCAGAATGAACTGAATTTATTTAGGACCATGTGTAGCTAGAAATGTACATACTTATGTGGAGTAAGTAGGGTATAAGTGCTATTCTCGTATACGGTATAATCTTTCTATCCATCCTGTTGTACGTATGTTTCTAGCATCAACTGCACTGCACAAATGAGCAAAACAGAAAAAAATCACTACAAACATGACAATCCAGCCAACTAGTTGTCTATATGGATACAAAACATGATAAGAAAGTAGTAGGAGTGTTTATGTATGTACAAAAATGCTCCTTCTTACATTAAGGAAGCCCACCTGTCCAGCTTGCTGACCACTGTCAGGGCAGACAAGTTGGACAAACTCCTTGAGCGTCTCCTGGGGGTGGTAGCGGATGGCGTGGTGGGGGAAGTACGAGCCAGGCTGCTGGATGATTGGCGATGTCGGGAAATGAAGACTTGACGGCGTGGCGTGAGGACTCGCTGCAAAGAGACAAACAGAGGAGCTTGGTCAGAAAACGACAGAGAGGAAGGATGGAGAAGAGGGACTCCATGAAGAAAGGATGTGGAGGTTGTGGTGGGTTTGTGCTTGGTTGGATTGCTCATGCAGATGGGGATGGACACACAAAGGTGGAATGTTTTTATGGGCTTGCTGGTTCAAAATAGCCACACACACACGCTCACGCAGGGGGGACGCAGAGGGATTTTAGGGATTTAATAGAAATAAAAATGAGTCTGTGATGGACAGAAATAAAGTCTGTTGAATATCTACTCAACCTCATGTCGTTCCAAACCTGTATGACTGACTGACTTTCACAGAACTCAAAAGAAGATACTGAAGAACAGCAGTGAAACAACATTGACTTTAATTGTGAGGGCGAAAGGGGTTTCATTTGGGTTTCTCAGAAATTAAGTCATACAGGTTAGGAATGACATTAGGGTTAGATGATATTTTGAAGATGTTTCGACTGTTTTTGAGCATATAATGAAAGTCGATGGGGTCCAAAACAACAACACTGGAACAATACTGAGTTTAATTGTAAGGATGAAAAGTTTATTTTGGGTTTCTCAGAAATTAAGGCATACAATTTTGGAACGACATGAGGGTGAGAAGACATTTTGAAGATGTTCCAACTTTTTTGTCCATTTAATGAAAGTCAATAGGGTCCAAAACTACAACATTGGAGCAACATTGACTTTAATTGTAAAGATGAAAGTTTACTTTTGGGTTTCTCAGAAATTAAGTCAAACAGTTTTGGAATGACATGAGGGTGGGAAGATATTTTGAAAATGTTTCAACTGTTTTTATTCATACAATGAATGTCAGTGGGGTCCAAAACAACAACATTAGAACAACATGTTTTTTGCAAGGACGAGAGGGTTCTTTTGGGTTTCTCAGAAAGTACATCATACAGGTTTGGAACAACATATGGGTGAGTAAATAATGGACACTTTTCACATTTCCAGAGCTCTGAGAAGCAGAAGTCATCATAGTTGTGTAAACTTCTATAGTGGTGAACAAACTACAACAAATATATATATATTTGCTTTCCCATTTGCACCAACAGCAAAACAAAAATCCATGATAGCATTTCTATGACTTTCCAGAGGAGGAAAAAAATATTGAGAAAATATGTTGGTCCCTCAGCTGTTGGATTAGAAATATTTGCTACAGCATTGTTAAACAGTTTCCTGTGATTTAATGCCAATGTAATAAAATACAAAGTATGGTATGTGCATTAAATGACATTTTTTAAAACTAAAAATATATAAAAACTTTGCTAGATTTACAATGCCAATAACTGTGGAAACACTTAAGAACAGGCTGTGAAATTTCTTAAAGCCATTCCACCTTATTACACAGGCCATACTCGTATCCCACACGGCCATGTCGTTGTTCAAATCAAATTAAAAATGGCATCTACTCCAACTCAGAAGGTCCGTGACAGCACACACTCACACACAATGCATGCACCTGTTCGTAACAATGGGTAGGCACCGCAACAACCAGCTGTTCAGTCAACAACACTTGAAAACCGCACGAGCACCGACGGAGAGCAAAATAGCACGGTACTTGGTACCATAACGGGTGCCAGATCCTTCTTTCATCCAGCGTCATTACGACTGATGCGACTAATAAAATGTCTCGGTGACGCTTCGGTCCTCGGCTCTCTCGCACCTTGCTGGCAGGCCTTTGGAGCGGTCTGGGACTGACAGTCCTTTAATGGATCGAACCTTATCTAGTATTTAATTGTAACTGGAACAATCTAATTAGGCGGCTCTTAATAGAGGTAATATTCGGTTATTGGTTATTAGTATAATGCCTGGGATGTGCGGCAGCGCTGGGTCTTTAAGCCGTGATGTATCGCAGCGGAGTTAATAAGACTCCGCACTCACCCTCTCCAATCTCTCGCTCTCTTTCAGGAGAGATGGTAAGCTGATACTACATAAACATTGTTAAAACCACAGCCCCCTGCTGCAGTAATTCACTTAGCTCTGGCCTTGATTTATGGCTCTGTCAATAGAGGGTGACTGGAAACTCTGGACGCTGGGGCTGCGATGTAGCCATTGTATTTACAGTAATAATGGAATGGACGACTCCCTCTTGCCCTTCTTTTGGTGTCGTTCTCTGTCTTACCTTTCCCGATGCCGTCTTTTCACGGCCCGGCTCTTTCTGTTGGGGGTAGGACACAAACTTTTATGAAGGAGATGCGAAGGCATGCACGCGGTGTCTTTACCGTCCCTGGCGGATTGGATTAGCCTGAGGCGCTGCCGCAGAGACCGAACCCCACTGAGACACACCCTTTACAAGGCTGAGTCAGGATTTGAGTGGACAACACTCTCACTTAGCACAAATGCTAACAAACACACACACACACACATTCAGAACCAGCATACACAAAAACTGCCAGCCAAGTCATCTCTTCAACACAATTACCAATAAAAGTGTTCTTAGAGGGGTCCTATTATGCTTTTTCACTTTTTTAATTTTAGTCAGTGTGTAGTGTGTATGTTTGGGCATAAAAAAGATC